GTTGGTCGAGAAATAGGAGGTTCGAGTGATTGACGATGTTGAGTGTTATGCAAGAGATGATACTCTTGAATGCGGCGTCTAAGTCTGAGATAACGCTCGATATCATTGATTTGTATGTATAACGGCTCGCCTTGCGAACGAGTGTTTGGCATACAAATAAGAAAAGAAAATAAAAGAAGCAGAGAAGAAAGAGAGAGGTTTTTGCTCTAGTCTCTACTGCGTAACAAAAGAGTAGCGATATCGACTTAAATCAGTCCCCGACAACGGCGCTAAAAACTTGATTGGGATTATACTTACGTATCCAATGATTCGGACTACAAGTGCACAGTCTTATCGTGTAGTTTTAAAAGATATCGAACCACAGAGACTGATGAATCGATCTACCGTCTTCTATTATTACTTCGCAAATCTAAAGCCAATGACTATTTGATTTGCTTGTAGGGAAAACTAAATACTAAATTAAGTTGTATTTTTAATAATCAATGATCGTAATTACCAGTATGCAATAGTCGAACCTCAGGAACTAGCGACCTGTTGGGGGTCTTTATATTTTCAAAACAACTTTCAGTAAAACTTATTTAGTTTAAAAACCCTTGTCTCACACTTTCGTTTTGTTGATCTAGGCTATGCAGTTAAGTCCTAACGTACGCTTCCGCTATCCCGCATGAGTTAAAAACACTTTTTGAAAACTAAATAAAATCTTAATTAACTTTAAAGTGCTTCCGCTGTATTTTAAGCCAATGCCTAATTACTACTGTCCAGTTAAAAGATCTCAAACTTCCGCTTTGTTGACCCTAACCTCTATCTATTTTTTACTTTCATAACAAAACAATTTAATGATTAAAAATAGTAACTTAGGCCAGAAAAGAAAGTTTCGTAGTAAAAATAATCCCAACTAAGTTACTCGTTCCCTTGGTTGAGTGACTTTACATACCGGTATAGGAATTCTAGCCTAACATAGTATCAGACCAAATCGCAGAATAATTTAAGAGACAAATGAAAATAAACATAATTATATTGATTAAAAGCAATAAGAATTCGTAAACATAAACCTGGTAATAATTCTGAAGATATAAGCACTCCTGCACAAATTGTAGGCTTTGCTTCGATCGGAGAATATATTTAACCGTACAAAGGAAATAATGCTGGAAGGAATATAGAATTAACTGGGAAATAAAATAATGCTGAAAGGAATATTTGCTCAAAGTAAATATAAAATCTCCAAAGTTTCTGCCCAAAAAGAAGAACTCTTTCTATTGTGGTCTAAGGCTTTATTTATAAGTCTTGCGTGATCAGTTGTTCTCGAGAATGTAGGAACAATTTATTTCCTCCTTTGAGAAATAATAGGGCCATTAATTTGTCACGTTCCCTAGTGCTTTTACTGAGTGGGTCAGATAATATAGGTAGTCGCTGGATTGGCTTTGAATGCGTTTCTGTCCGTTGGATGCGAAGAAAGTGGGGTAAGTGGCCTTGTGACGTTCGTCACATCCAAGTGACGATAGTCACTTGGTCATTCTCAACGCGTGACGTTCGGAATTCCTCCTTGACGATCGTTAAGGTATTCTTAATTGTGGGCCACGTGCTCACATGTATAATGGGCTTGAGCTCATTTCTTCTCCTTTGGCCTTTTTGCTAGTTTTGCACCTCTTTTTTCTTCATTTCTTCCAAAGTGTTCAGCTTAATGTATATCTGAAAAATAGAAAAATACCTGCATAATACCTATAAAATAATTTAATTTAAACTAAAGTATGAGAAATATTTGGTGTATATCAAGCCAGAAATATCACATATTTGTGTGTCATCATCTACTAACAACACTTACCGCTTGTGAAATATCCGGACGTGTACACACCATAGCGTACATCAAACTGCCAACTGCACTAGCATAAGGTACATTTTCCATGTTTGCCTTATCTTCTGCAGTAGTAGGAGACTGATTACCAGAAAGCCTAAAATTTGGAGCTAATGGAGTAACCACCGACTTAGCACCATTCATTCTAAACCTTTCAACAACTCGCTCTAAATAGCCCTTTTGACTCAAAAACAGTTTTCGGTTTGTCCTCTCTCTTCTAATCTCCATACCCAATATTTTCTTTGCAGCGCCCAAATCCTTCGTCTCAAACTCTTTACCAAGTTTAGACTTCAACTTATCTATCTCCACCTTGCTTTTTGAAGCAATAAGCATGTCATCGACATATAATAATAGATAGATATAATCACCTCCATGAAGCTTCCGAATATAGACACAAATGTCATAACTACTTCTAGAGAAACCTTGTTTTATCATGAAAGAATCAAATCGCTTGTACCATTGTCTAAGAGATTGTTTCAACCCGTAAAGTGATTTTCTCAAGCGACATACCTGACTCTCTTTACCCTCAACCTTGTAACCCTCAGGTTGATACATATATATTTCTTCATCTAAGTCTCCATGCAAGAAGGCTGTCTTCACGTCTAGTTGTTCCAGCTCAAGATCACCATGAGCTACTAAACTTAATAGCACCCAGATAGAAGTATGTTTCACTACCGGAGAAAATATCTCATTGTAATCAACTCCTTACTTTTGTGCAAACCCCTTGGCCACTAGCCTAGCCTTATATCTTGTACCGCATGACTTAGTATGATCTTCTTTTCTTTTATACATCCATTTACAACCAATAGCAGTCTTTCCCCCGGGCAATGGGACCACCTCCCATGTCTTGTTCTTATGAAGAGATTGCATCTCTTCCTCCATAGCAACCAACCAACTCTCTCTATCTTTGTCTTTGATAGCTTGCTTGAAGGTGACCGGCTCATCATCTTCAGTTGAGAGTGCATATTCCACCAAGTTAACCTGCCCATAATGCCTCAGAGGTTTGTCTGACCCAAACTTTTGAACTAGTTTATAATTTCTATTTGGCCTAGTGGTATCCAAAGATTCCTGTTGTTGTTGTTGTTGTAACACATGTGTATTTTCCTGCTAAACCTCCTCATGATCAAGTTCATCCTCTTCCTCGTCTTCACTAGCGATAGGATTCTCCACCTGACCACGACTAGAATCTGGTTGGTCTTCAGATTCTATCTCAATAACTTGCTTATTTGATATCGTCACATCACCATCGTTAGGATTTATATCTTTTGACAAAGCTACCATAGATTTTTCGTCAAATGTAACATCCCTGCTAATCACAAACTTAGAATCTTCTATACTCCAAAGGCGATAGCCTTTGACCCCTGTTGCATATCCTAGAAAGATAGCTTTCTTGGCTCTATTATCAAGTTTACTATTCTTGACATGATAATAGGCCGTGCATCCAAAGATTTTCAGTTTTTCATAATCAGCATGTTCACCTGACCACACCTTATAGGGCGTGTCTCCACCTAAACTCGAATATGGGGATCTGTTTACAACATAGCAAGCTGTAGCAACCGACTCTTCCCACCATTCTCGACCTAACCCAAAATTAGAGCGCATACACCTCGCTTTCTCAAGAAGTGTACGGTTCAGCCTTTCCACGACTCCATTCTGTTATGGTGTGCCTCTGACCGTCCAGTGCCTAACAATACCTTCTTGATCATAAAAACTCTTGAAAGCTCCATCTGTATACTCTGTACCATTATCCGATCGCATAGTTTTCAGCTTTTTACCCGTTCTGTTCTCAACCATTGCTTTCCAACACTTGAAAATATCAAATACCTCATTCTTATGCTTAAGAAAGTAAATCCAAGCATACCTCGAATGATTATCAACATATGTAACAAAGTACCTCGAACCACCCTTAGAAGTAACTGGAGCCGGACCCCAAACGTCAGTGTGCATGTAGTCTAATATTCCCCTGCTTTTATGCTTGCTTGTAGAAAACCGCAACCTATGTGCTTTGCCATACACACAATGTTCACAAAATTCCATGCATGGCTTTTCCATGTTCTTCAGCAAACTTTTCTCACCAAGCAGTGATATACCCTTTTCAGACATATGCCCAAGGTGCATGTGCCACATCCTCGTACATTCAGTTTGGTCTTTACTTCTATTGATTCCAACTGCCAAATCACCAGTGACAGTTTCCCCCATAAGAGAATACATATTTCTGTGACGAACCCCCTTCATCACAACCAACGAACCATGAACAACCTTTAAGCCTCCATTTTCCAAGATTATTTTGCAACCGTTTTCCTCTAATACACCAAGAGAAATAAGGTTTTTCCATAAATTAGGGACATGTCTCACGTTCGTCAAAGTCCTTACTCCATCATGCATCTTGATTCGTATTATACCATACCCCATAATTTTGCAGGCATGGTTATTCCCCATTAAAACTGTACCACCATCTGTGCTTTGGTAGGTAGTAAACCACTTCCTATTTGGGCACATATGGTGTGAAGCTCCTGAATCAAGCATCCATCTCTCGGAGATATCGTGGTCTTGCTCTGAGACAGAGAAACAATCATTCTCACTATTTGATATATAACTCGCCTCTTGCAAATCTTGTAGTTTACCTTTGGATTTGTTGCCGTTGTTGGTATAATTTTTAAATAATACCCTCTTATTTGGACAATTTTCTTTAAAGTGCCCAAGCTCACCACATTTAAAGCACGTTCTTTCCGCATGAGCTCTAGATTTTGATCTAGACTTGCCGCCCCTGCCTTGTCCTCTTTCATTAGTCCTCCCTCTAGTAACAAGCAATCCTTGAGCATGTTCGTTATTTTCTCCACCATTACTAGACATCCCACTAGTAGCAACCTTTCGAAGATCATCCACTAATAATGATGTTCTAGTCTCATCCATGGTTATAGTATCACCCACAAGCATCAATGTTTGAACTAGATTTTCATACTTCTTGGTCAATGAAAGAAGCAACATAAGTGTTTGGTCTTCATCATCAATCTTCACTCATATATCCTTCAAGTCTGATATAATCCTATCAAACTTGTTGACATAATCACGGATTGGGGTGCCTTCCTCCATCTTGCATGTATACAATTTGGATTTCAAGTAGATTCGATTTGTTAGAGTTTTCGTCATGAAATTTTTCTCTAACTTTGACCACACGCCAACAGCCGTTGCTTCTTCATTAACCAAGAACACAACATCCCTCTCAAGGCATAAGATTATGGCTGCCCGTGCTTCAAGAACTAACTCTTCTCAATCCTCATCCTTCATACTCTCAGGTTTCTGTTCTGCTAACGCCTTGTGTAACTTTTGTGATATAAGCTGATTTTTCATTTGCATCCTCCAATGGGAAAAATCATTTTTCCCATTGAACTTCTCTATTTCATATTTTCCAACCTTGACGGTCCACTAGTAGAAGCCATTATCTTCGATAACCAATAAAAAATAATAAAGTTTTACCACTCTACAATTTTACAATTGGCTCTGATACCAATTGATAGAGTCGCAGTTGAAATTTGGCTTCTAATAATGATATGAAACACAACTCACTAAAGTTGAACAAGAGAAATTATATAGCATGAACAATGAATTATTGTATGATGAAATGTCTAAAAAAGAAAGAATGATTATTATAAAGTTGATAATAACTTTGTTACAAATGGATATTTCTATTCTATATCTAACAAACTTATGCTTCGGTTTATATAGTAATCTACATACTATAATTTGAGCGAAGTATATTACAAAACAATTATAAACCATTGTTTTTCTATGATTTCTCCTGAATTATTGCTCATCAACATTTATCTGAGTAAATATTGCATTAGGCTTTCAACCAATCCATATTTAGTTTTTATTAAATGTGTCCACAGAATAAATACATTTTCATGAAAAATCATTTTGTTTCCTGTGGACGTCCAAATTGCTAATATGGCCATGTTTGTTTTTTTGACCAATTGAGTATTTTATGTCCCTCACACTGAAATAATACCACTCTGTTTCTCTCATTTTAGTCAAATATTAATAAATAAATTAAAAATAAATAAATAAAATACCATTCTAAAATGTATATAATAAATTATAATTTGAGAAAATAAAATAATTATATTGTCTTGGTGGCGAACCTAACACATTATAATGTACTAGTAGTAATATTAATTAAGAGAAAATATATAATAAATTTGTGACGTGTTTATTGAATACTAACTATTAATATAGTATACTGACAACTAATATTACTTTTAAAAAACTAACATTAACATCATCTGGTAAATTCTATTGTTCATACTTGTTCATATCAATTTTGAAAATGGAGTGATGTTAAGGGATAAACAAACTTTGATTGAGTGATGTAAGTTGAAGCAAAAAAAGGATGAGAGTGAATGATGTAAGACAATTTTGTTGTCTGAAATTGATGAAGATATTGAGGGATGTGATATATTAGGGATGCATAATATGACTCATTAATTAATTTAGGAAGGTTTCAAAACGTACAAAAGGTTAAATATGAGCTTCAATACATTTTTATTGAAACGAGATTTATCATGACTCGATCTGAATTGATCTTTTAGATTATAAAAATTCTATTAATAAAATTGTTGTTTACTGAACTCACAGTTTAAGAGACATATGTTTTTTTACACTTGGAACAATGGAATGAATGGACAAAGAAGTATTTGGTAATGTGAATATCAACGTAACCAAATATGTTGATGAATTGATAAAATTCAACGTAACCATTACATAGATATTTGTTTTTCATGTGTTTTTCATTTGTTTTGTTTGTCTTTCATATTGTTATCTTTTGCAGTATTGTTTTCTGGTAAGGATTTTGAATAGCATGAAGAGAGATTGTTTTCTCAAAGGGAATAGACCAACCCATGGCCATCTATTTCACCTGCAGCAAAAGATCTTGTAAGAAAAATGTTGAACTCAGATGATAAGCAGAGGCTAACAACATATGAAGTTTTGAGTAAGTATATGCATAGTTTCATTTGATTTCATCACTATAAAATCGGTGTAATTTAAATTCTAACAACACAATTCTTATGTGAAAAAAATAGATCGTCCATGGATTAAGGAAGGTGGAGAATTGCCAGGTAACAATTCAGAGAAATGAACCAATTCAAGAAACTTGCTCTAAAGGTATTTTTATTTTGATTAAAATAATTCTAACATGAAAAATAACCTCAAGATTCTTACCTCTCACTTTATAATTATGGTTATAAACTTTAATCAAAGGTTTTGATTTTGATTCATGGTTTTCACCTAAAATTTCCCCCCTCATTTGTTCTAAATCACAAAAACTATGATTAAAGTTATGGAAGTAACCTTTTGCTCCAAAATCACAACACGTGGCTTCTTGAGAGAAGCAGAATTTTTTTTTTGTTCTCCATTTAGAAATACATGTTTTTCTTGTATTTGATTGTATGTGAAATTGACTGTGTTATATATAATTCTTCTCAAAAGATCAAGGATGTGGTGAAATGCACTTTTGATCATCTAAAGCAGACAGTGTCTTCGATGAACAACACACATTGACAGATGACAAGGTTATGTTTTTTCTTTTAATCTTCATTTTTTCATATCTACTAGACATTTCTTTATAGAAATAATATCGAGCATTATTTAAATCTATATATAGATCTTGAGGCATTTGCTATTGATATTATCATTGTAGGTTGAAGTTGTTGTCTTGTATCCAGGCATGTGACCTACTGTTTTGAGGATGCGCTTGAGGTAATTGACAAATTTGCCTGATAACAATCCTAACATCAAGAACTTGAAAATGAACATTGTATTCCATGTCTGTTTAGTTTGGGATTTGATGTACCAATATGCTCTCAGCTAGGAGATAGATCAAAATACATTTGAAGTATCTTCATTAGGTGAAGGATCATGTTTTCACTTTGATCATGTTAGAGCTCTGGTACTTTTCCTCAATAATTATTCTCTATACTATATTATTCAAAGTAAATATTCTTACTGAATTTGTAGCATCTTTGTTTCTAAGTTCTTAATGACAAATAAAATTAAGAAAAGAGATGGCTTAAGGCCGATTATACCATCAAGTTGATAGAGAAGAATTAGTATTTTTGTATATTTGAAGTTAGTGTTTAATGTGTAAATCATGTACTAATATAGAATGTAAATAATTTCGACTATAATAATTATTATATATTTATTGAATTAGAACTACCATAGCAGAGAGCAGTAGCAGAGAGTTCTTGAAATGGAGGTGGAGTCACCACGATTTCAATTTCTCTATTGGCAGGTTAATCCGCTTTATGGAAATCAGTCACTTTCTTTTTGTCATCGATGGTCCCAAAAGTTCCAATACAATGGCAGGATGAAACCAGTTTCCAGTGTGATATCGGAATCAAACGACTTGTGCTATGACACTAGGAGGATGTCGACGTGTCTTATGGCATCGAAATGAAGCTCAAACTGCCATCTGCAGGCCGGGTTTGATAATGAAATATTCGACCTAATGTCATAGGAATCACAGTGTCGTAGTGGCCATCAAAAGATAAGTTATTTTACATGTTTTGTTCATTGATCATGCTCAACTGTTGTTTGTTTATAACGCTTACGGTTATGATTTTGTATATGGAAGTTTGAACCACACATTGTTTTGATAACATATGAGTTTTGTTGAAATTTGGAATACTCTATTATTAAGAATTTTGTTTGCCGCAATTTGATGTCTTCAAAACAGTATTCTTGCTTAGGAACCTTTAAGAAGTTGTTGTGTGTATTGAAGGCCTACTATGTTATGCTTCTGTTGTTTCACAACATCATTATTTTTTTTACCTTTGCTTACATTGTTAGAGATTGGAGTCATTCAGAGCGATGTTATATCCGTTCTCCTATTTTGCTTTGCTGTTTTTTAGATCGGGGTTTGTAACATATAATTTTGTATCTTTGACATTTCTCGTGCCTTGTAATAGCATGTAAATTTTGATCATTTGAAGAATTTACCACTTGAGTAATAAAATCATCTTGAACATTTTTTCAGGTGCATGAGTAAGGGATGTCCCAGTTTGTTTACATAGAGTTTATACAGATTTCAATATATAATCTGTTTTGATATGTTTGAATGTGTTTCGTTGGCATTGATTCATTTCTTTTTTTTATTCACGGTGATTCTGAACATGTATAGCAAAAATGTAGTGCAACTTCATATGTTTTCTTCTATCCATAACGAAGAAAGGAAGGGGATTATATAAAGAGCAAATGTGTTATTTTCATGTATATCTCAATCCTTTTTATTTTATAAAAATTGATAATAATTTATGTATGGGTGTCTTAACTACTACTTTTGTTTTCTTTTCATCGTGTTTAGATAAAAAATAAATATTTTGTATTACTAATTCCAACCCTTTGTGAACATGTGATGACTGTATAACTTAATTTAGAGATAATAATATTATATATTGTTGCATTGTTATGCTAATTGAGGGTTTATTTAATGTTGATCGTATTGATTCAAGAATTTGATGAATTGAATTTACTTTTATTTATTTATTTCTATTTGATTTTTACATGAAGATGTATTTTAAATTATTTACTTTACTAATAATTTTTAAGAGAATATATAGAAAAGTGAGCATATATTATTGATGTAGTAATTTCACTAATATGTATTATTAATGTAAGTAAGAGAAATATATGTTTTTTAAAAATTAATTTAAAATAATTTTAAAATAATGAGTGAATCTTAATATTTTTTAAATGAGAATAAATTTATTATTATCTAAATATTTTTATACAAGAAATATAATATTTTTATATATTTAAATAATTATAAATGCCGATTTATTATCTCTTTTAAAAAAAATTATTTTATTTTTATTATATTTTGGGAATAAATGTGCGTATCGTATCAGTACCCGTGCGAACACATAGGTATCCCACTAATTTAATTGATAGATTTATCCCCTATATCCTCTTATAAGTAACAAAAATTGTGTTCATTGAACAATTGATGTATGTGATTATTATTATTATATATCAGATATATCAATTATTCAATCAATAAAAATATTTTTTTTATTATTTATAATTGTGACCAAAGAGTGTACATCATAATTGAAGAGGACAATTGTTCATGGTAGGCTTTTTTTAAGTCTCAAAATCTATGAATGGTCAAAAACTTTACACAATAAACTTGCATAAGGAACTTTGTTTGGACATGCAACATAGAAACCAAACCACTTGTTACTCTTTCATGTGAAATCATTTGGAAAATGCTCTTTTCTTTTTTATAGGTGCTCCTACACCATTAAGAAAAAATTACAATGTCCCTAGCATTCAGAGATATATTTTCAGACGCACCTATTTTCATTATTTCCTAGAAAAAATTAAAGAGGCATCCCTTTTACATTAAAATTTAATCTAGAGATGCATCTTTGTATGTGAAAAATGTGCGTTCGAAGATGCATCTATGTAAGCACAATTAATTTAAAATTCAGTGGGTAGTTGGGAGATGCATGTCTGGACGTTTTTTTTCATTTACTCACGCATAACCCTTTCCTCTTCCTCATTCTTCATTTTCTCAACAAAAAAACACTTGACCTCTCCCTCTCACAACCATGACATTGAAGCTTTGAAGCATTGCATTTAAGCATTAATGGAGCTATTTCTCCTTATTTACATCATCTCATAACATCGAAACAACACATTTTCATCAATTAATTCTATTTTGGTAAGTTTTTCAAATTTTCTTTTCTTTTCTTTTTGTGTTTTTGTTTTTAAGTTAGTTTTTAGGATACGTTAGATGTTTTATGAACTTTAGTTAGTCGTGAAAACAAACTTGGTAGGTTATAATAACATGGAATGGGGTTTTGGGGACTGTTAGGGCAGGAAATGAGGTCTACCATGAGAACTCATAATCGCAGGTTTGTCCAGAGATGCATCTTTAAATTTGCTCTGAACTGCATTCAGAGATGTATCTGAAGGGTGAGAAAACACTTAGAAGGGGGGGGGGGGGGGGTTGAATAAGTTTTTCCTTTTTCTCGCGCAATACTAATGGAAGGACACAGGTATTTTTATCCTGGTTCGTTTGAAACTCAAACTACTCCAGTCCACCCGCCAAGGTGATTTCGCCTCTCTCAACGAGGACTTAATCCACTATAGTCAAACTGATTACAAATGCACAACCAAACTATTGTGACTAACAATACAATGCACAAGCCAACTGCAAGTGACTAACACCTCTAAGACTCAACTAGTCCTAGCCCTCTTGAGAAATCTGACCAAACTTGTCTCTCAAGGAACACTTACAAAATTATCTCTTAATAGTAGTGAAACAAAATGCTTCTAATAAACTTCATCACAAACTGTGATTTATCACTAAGATTGTTGCTCAATGCTTAAGATCTACCCACTATACAGTATTGGTTTACAAGTATGAAAACAGTGAGCGTAAGATTGTTTCACGTGGATCAGTAACCTTTCTTTGAAATGAAAGGTCTTCTATATATAGCTTCCAATTCTTGATTGTTACTGCCTTGATGAGAGTGCATGCATTTAATGATGCGTGTAGGCTTGGTCTTTACGTTTCCAATGCTCGTGCGTAGTACACTTGAGTGCGTTAGCCGTCTTAGCATTTAATAACCAACAGTACTGTCAGAGCTTGTCTCTGGAAGTTTAAGTGTTTGCTTGCAGCGTTGCCATTTCAGAGTATACTTTATCTTTTCTTCTATCAGAGTATTCTTCAATTTATGTGTTCATCAGAGTTTGCTTTAATCTTGCATTATCAGATGTTGCTTTCAGCGTGCTTCTATTTCAGATCTTTGCTTCAGCTTGCTTTATCAGAGGTTGCTTAGTATTACTCTTCATCAGAGTTTGCTTTGGAGTGCTTCCTTCCGAGGTTGCTTTAGACTTGCGTAGAATGCCGTTTCTTTCTAAGATGCATGAGTCAGAACATTATCTGAACTTAGAGAACACACAAGTCAGAGTATAAAATATATTTCACAAAATTTTATTTCATTGTTATCATCAAAACTCTAAGATATGATTAGAACCAAACTTTGTTCTAACAAAATCCCCCTTTTTGTTGATGACAAAAACAATTTAGATTTAAAAAAAAAATTATGCAAGTTGTGAGAATCTCCCCCTGAGATCGATAATCTCCCCCTGAGATTGATATTTCTTCTTCTGAAAAGTTAATTAAAGAGTTTAAGAGCAAAAGGGAAACTTCCTGAGACTTTGTTCTTCAGAGCTTTGAGAAGTTTTTCTTTCAGAGTTCTTTTAGCAGTTCTTTTCCAGATGATGTTCAAAGCATAGTCTTTCAGAGTCTTGAGGTACCTGCATATCTCTTAAACAGAACAAAGCTTTGTATTTTATTAGAAATGTTTGAGACTTAGTACCATAACTGTTATCATATATCTGATAAAAATCTTATTTTCTCCCCCTTTTTGTCATAATCAAAAAGTAAAAAAGAATAAAGAGATTCAAAATATTTGTATATTGAAGATTTCAAAGGAAAACAGAGTTATAAAACAAAAACAACAGGGAAACTAAAACAATTAAAACTAGGATTGACGAGAGACAAGAGACAAGAAGAAGATTCTTGATTTCATTTGAGGATTCCTCTTGTTTCATCATCCAAGTTCTGATTTCCTGGTTGGTTTCATCCTATTTGTCTGAACGCTCATGGATGGCTTCATTTTCCTTCTACAGTTCATTCAGAGTATCCATCACCAGCAA